CTGCAGGCCCCTGGCACTCTCGCCCGCGGCTGGCGCCCAGGGCGCAGAGCTGAAGGGAGCTCGCGAGGCGCCTTCTGTTTACCTTTTATGGTTAAAATAACAGCTTAGCAAAGAAGCGACTTCACGAAGAAGCGATTTAGTGAAATCGTCTCAAGCTGCCACAGCTCAGCCAGTTTAATCACCCCCAGAGAGCTGAACAACTGCGAGCACAATGGGACACAAAATCATTTTGTGTGTAAATGAGCGTGGCATTCTGCTCGCTTCCCTCTGCTCGGGCGGGCGGGGCTCGGCGGCGGCGGGCGGGCACTGGACCCGGGGCTCCCACCGCAGCTCCGAGAAGCAGGTCAATACCTAGCCAGTCTGGAGTCCCGCAGGCCCGCGGAGCACACACTACACCGCGGAGGCCCCTGCAACAGGCGGTTTGGGCGAGCCTCGGGAGGGCCGCGGCGCGCTGGGGCTGGGTCGTGGGGTCGTGAGTTTGCTGGTGGCATTGAAGGACTGAACTTGTGTCTCTTACTGCACCCACTTTTGTTGCCTCTGACCTCAGCAGTGGTGTCGGGGAAAGGTCGTTGTCCAGCACAGATGCGTTTGCCGGAGGCAGCACTGGAGGTTCTGGTCGAGGCGTAAAGCCTGGGGCTTCCAATGGTGAGTTTCTGCTTTGCCATGAACATCAGGTTGCGCTTGTGATGGAAAAGAGGCTTGGATGAGAGCAAGGACTGAAGAGCTTTTGTGATGGGTACTTGGTGTTAAATGTCACTTGAGTCGTGTTCCTGGTAGTTGGGAAAACATTGCGCAGTCCGCTTTGATAGAATTTCCATCGGAATTCCTTCCAGCACAGTTTATCCTCAGTGTGGCTTTCCTTCTGACTCCTCCCCCAGCAGAGCCTCCCAGGGCAGGATAACCCATCCTGAGGTCTGTTTTGGTCTCTGAGAACTTCCTTGAGATAAGTGACCTGCTTTTCTGAGCTGGCCAGAAGTCAGGAATGCCACGAGCAGCAGACCCTGAGTAGCCCCCAGTGGGAGTATCAATGAAACATCACTGTCTAATAGCAACCCCCCACCCCCACGCCAGTTTCGGGTCAGGGAACTGGCCGGGACACCCAAGGCAGAACAAATCCTAGGAGAGGAACCTTACTTAAATTGGCAGGATTGATGATGCTCATTGGACCTTGGTTATGTTTTAAAATTGGAGGGTGAATTTCAAGACACAAGTCAAACCTGTGAGAGCTAAGTCCAGGTTAGGCTTGCGGGGGCCAGCGTGTGGGTGGGTGTGGGTGTTCACTGTGCCCCAGGAGACAGCCTCAAGTCCATGCAAGGGGCTGCATAGACCACCACTCCTCCAGCAGTGTCGTAGGGTGGCTTCTAGCGACTGAGGGACAGTCTTATTTCAGGTGGTCATGGCATAGAGGAAGGTCGCTAAGTGACTGGGGAGGAGTAGGAGAGACGGTCCATTTGCTGAGCTGCTGTCTGTTTCCTTCTGGCAGCTCTCTAATGCCTTGGGGGGGTGTGATCCCGAGGGGGTCTGGAATACATTAGGCACAGATAAGACCGTCCTGCGGGTCTGGGGAGAAACTGCAGAGGTGCCGGCTAGGCAAACAAAGACAAGTTTCCTCTCTCAGGCGCCCTAGGGAAGAGGTGGCTTCCTGCGTGACTTTTGCTCTTCCCCTGGCTTCTGCCAAAGGAGGCTGCTCTGTGTCTGGCCGTTCACAAACTGCATCTTAACCACGGTGGAGACAGTGTTCAGAGAGGTCCCGGGCTCCCCAGCGCATGGAGGCTGGGGGATCCTCCCCGAGCTGTGGTCCACGGGGCTCTCTGCTGATGCAAGAGGAGACACGCTTGGTAACGTGGCTCTGAACCAAAATACCAGGAAAATCAGATTTGTTCTGAAACATTTTGGGGCAGTAATGGTGAGCATATGCTTTAGTATTGTCATTAACCGAATTAGCAGACGTGGAGCTGCCCAGAAAACGTGTGTGAGTGTGTGCGTGCGTGTGTGTGTGCGCGCGTGCATGCGTGTGTGTGCATGCGTGTGTGTGCGTAAGCTGCTAGGGCTTTGGAGCACGGGGACAGGGTAGTGGCGGGTGGAACCCGGAGAGGGCTGTGTGGTGTGGGGGTCCCAGAGAGCACAGGCGGAAAGGATGGTTCCGAGCATCTTCGAATCTGGGACTACGGAGGAGTAAAAGCCCTGTGGTTTTGTCGGTGCTCCCCACAGATACTCTGGGCAGCGATGGAAGCCTAGATGCCTCACCGCAAGGAGCGGCCGAGCGGGTCCTCGCTTCATGCCCACGGCAGCGCCAGCACCGCGGTGAGAGCCAGCAGGGTGGGCTGGGGCAGCGGCCGGTGGCCCCCTCTCTGCCCTTTTCCCCAACGCCTGCCTGCTCACCGGCCACCCGTCCCCCCAAGAGATGGCTGTTGACTGGCTGTATGATTATGTATTTTTTGAAACAAAAATGCTCTTAATTTGATGTGAAATTTACTACATGGATAAAACTCAACGCCTTAGGTGCTGAGGAAGTCACTAATTTAGAGGTGTCTCGTTACCGAGACAAACTTGCAAAAACCCCTGAATCCCAATTCACAAATTGGTGATTCGTTTGTCAGGGGATATTTCACATCTAACACATAAGCCCGCGACCTTTAATTAGAATTTTGCAGTTTGTTTTATGCCCCTGGAGGCTGACACCTTGAAAATTTTTTTTTTCTTGATTTCTTATTGCTAATAAGCATCTTTCTTTTTTCCCTCTGGAACTTGGAAGAAAATGATGCAAATACACTTAATTACAGCGGTGGCCATAATTTGTCAGCTGAATATGTGATCAGGCACCAGGCAGAAGTGATCTGATTAGATCTGTGATCACATTGGCAATAAAGGGAGTGCACGGCTCTGTGGTGGAGAAACTCTTGTTCTCGCCTTGTCTCCATCTCCAGGAGGGAGGAAGCATGTCCCGGTTATCTCTTACCCGGTCGCCCGTGTCTCCCCTGGCCGCCCAGGGCATCCCACTGCCAGCCCAGCTCACCAAGTCCAACGCACCTGTGCACATCGACGTGGGGGGCCACATGTACACCAGCAGCCTGGCCACGCTCACCAAGTACCCCGACTCCAGGTAAGAGCCGAGCCCCACGTGGCACCAGGCGTGCCGTGGCTCCTGGCAGCGGGGGCCACCTGCCGCCAGTGGGGTCCGTCTCCTCTGCCAGCCACCAGGCAGGCTCTCCGGGGCCCACCTGCTCTCCCAGACCTGGGGCACCTAGGGGCCGGGAGGCCAAGGCTGCCTCTCGGAAGATGCTTTATACAGGGACTTGCGACCCTGTGTTGGTGGCATCGAAAGTGCCAGGTGGAGCTCCTGACCCACCGGCAGAAGCCCCTCATTCGGAGCCAGGCCCACCTGAAACCGGCCCGCAGCTGGCTGGGGAGTCTTAAGTGCCTTCAGGTTCCTCGGGACTGAGACTCGGGCCTGGCGTCTGCAGAGGATCATTTGTGAGCCATGCCTCGTCCGCCTCGGGATGGTGTTGGAGAGAAGTATCTAATCCTATTTCCTGCTCTAACCCTCGGTTAAGTACAGAAAGGGAGGGAGGAGTGGGAGTTGCAATTTGCCATCTTTGTCTGTTGGAGTGGCCCCTGCTAGAGGCTCCCTTGGGCGGGCGGTGACTAGCTAGGAATTCCAGGATGTTCAGGCATATCCAGGGCTGTGGATGAGCATGAGCCTCATACCCCCATCAGCAGACGAAGTGTCTCTGACCAGGAGCCTCCCAACAGGGCACCTTGCTCTCCGCCCAGCTCCCTGCAGCTCCTGGCTCCTGGGCCCATTTGTGGGAGGTGCCAGGAGGTGCCGCTTGGGCATGACCCTCCCAGGGGCAGACATGGCTTCCTGTTGGCATAGCAGCAGGGCTGACCGGAGCTGGGACGGGCCTCCGAGCATCTCCTGGAGGTGACGCAGTGTGCTGCTTGCTCCTGGCGCGGCGAGGCAGCCACCATGGAGGGCTGAGCAGCAGGAGGGCCAAGGCTGCAGGGTATTGCCCTTGTTTTATACATTTAAAAAAAACAAGAGGAGCTAATTAAGCCCCCAGACACCGAGGGATCATCTCTGGGAAGCTTTCTCGTCTGTCGCCGGCGCGGTGGCTCAGCGCCGAGGCTTCCGAGCGCATGGCACCTTAGGAGGGCCGGGGTGGAGCTCTCCACGGGGGCAGGAAAGCTCCCTCGAGGAGCCGGTGCTGGAGGTGGATATAGCGTCCGGTTCGGAATCTGGGGAGCCCGGGCTGCAGATGGCAGTTGGACTCACTCCCTCAGCACAGCAGAGCCTAGGCCTGGGGCGCTTGTGAACTTGGCGCTTGCAGCCACGAGGCCCCACCGGCAGGGCCGGCCTGCGCGCTCGCTTGCAGAGCTCTGTCTAGGATGGGAGATGGATTCTGCTTATTTAATTTCAATTTTGCCTTCTGCGGCATTCCCGAGTTGTTTGAGATAGATCATCCCTTAATCGGTTGACGACGTTTGTGAGTGAAATTCATAAAACCCTTGCCCACAACCTCTCTGAAGAGTGTTTCTTGAAATCAGACACTTGCCTTTCTAGAGTAATCACAGCTCAGGCCTGCGGGGAGCGGCTGCCTCATTCTTGTCTTCAGGGCTGCTGCCTGGGATCAGCAAGGGCAGGGGCAGCCCTCCCCCCCCACTCCCATACCCACAGTGCTGCTCCTCCTTGCCCGTCCTCCTGCTCTTCGGTGTGGGGCAGGCCCTCTCACTGGGGGGCTGAGGCCCCCTGTGGCCCCATGATCCGGCATGTGGGACCCTCGGCAGCAGGACGTGCCCAGAGGGGGTAGCGGTCTGCATTCTTTCTCCAGGGCTGGGGCTCTGAGATGAATCCCTCTTTCTTGCCTGGATGGCTTCTGGCTCAGGGCAGAGCTGCTCCCTGGGCCTGAAGCTTTGGCCTAGAGGCCAAGGGGTGGCGTGACCCGTAGGACAGTCAGGGGACAGGGGGTCAGGCCGGGCCTGGGAAGTGGGTTGGACAGCTGTGCTGGCAAGAGCCCCTCACATCTCTCTCGTCCTTCTTTAAGTGAGTCATTAAAATTAAAAAACATTTTTTCCCCAATTCTGGAAACCAAGATCAGTCCCTCACCGAGTGGCACTGATGTATGAGTCACCAGGAGAAGGAGAAGTAAGAGTGCTGAGGTCACCCCGGGTGGGGGGGTTCTGGATATCGGGCAAGTCCCACCTGGGCAGTGCCGTGAGATCAGGGGGCTGGTGCCCCACAGCCGTGGGTCCCTGAGCCCACAGGACTGTGCCCGGGCTTCTGGTTCTCGGCTCCTCGGCGGGGGGCGGGGGGGCTCCGACCACAGGGAGCAGGTGCTGCCATTAGCCCGCACCCAGAAAGAGCAGGGCATGGCTGCCCAGGGCTGCAAGTGGCCTCCCCTGGGCTGCTACCTCGCCCGTCCCTGCCGGACAGCCATTAGCTGCTGCCATAACAGTCCCAAGCTGGTGCCCGTGCTGGCCGTGGGAAGCGGCAAAGTAAGCCAGGCGCTCCAGGACTAATAAAACCTTCCCCTGAAACATGCAGGAAATTGGAGCCAAAGGTTTAAAAAAAAAAAAGAAGACCTCCATCAGCTGGGGTCAGAACTGGCCAGATTATTCCATGAAGGGCTTCTGAAGTTGGCACCCCCAAATCTTGCTCTTAAGACCCTGCCAGGGGGCCGGGGGGGGGCGGTGGAGGGGGGTCCTCTTGTGGCAGTTGTCCTAACCTGCCCTCAACCTACTCACATCCTTGTTAGCCTCAGACCCCGAGGGCATGAAAGGCCTTTGTCCTTGGAAGAGACACTGAGGGTAATAGCTAGAACTAGTCTTAAAATAAGGCCAATTGAGAACCTTCTAGCCTTGGACCAATAAGACAGCCTAGAACCCAACCAGCCCTGGAATGTGGGGTGGTCAGGAGTCCCCTATACCAATAGGATGGTGTGGAGCCCAGCCCTGGCATCAGAGAGATCTGCAACATAGCCCAGCCTAGAACACTGTTTGCTGCATAGAGGGTTTGAGCTCAACCAGGAAGGGTGGAGAAAGTTCCACAGGGAGGCTGAAGCTTTGGTCTGGCTTGCATGTGGATGTGGTTCTTCCTTCTTCCTGCCAGTGCCATGTGGGCCCTCCTCTGTCTGGGGAGGACTGCCCATGGGACCAGGCAGCCTTGCTCAGTCCCATCTGCCTCTCGGGTGCTGGACGGCCCTCGTTCTGACATCTGAATACCCAAGCTCTGCTGAGGCCAGGTCTTGGGGGCTTTGGCAGCTGGAACAGGCCTTGGAGCCCGCAAGGCTTTCCACCAGGGGCTCTGTTCCCCAGGCCTGGGAAGTTCATAGGGCTCAGTGGCCTTCGGAGTCCTCAGATGAGTCATATCTGGTGACCGCAGTCCTGGTTCCACAGGCCCAGACCTCTCCACACCTCATCCTAAGCTCTGAGCTGCTCACGCCTACCCGTGAGGCAGCCTTGCCCTCTACACGGCCTCTCTGGGACCGGGGCTTGGCCATGTCCCCAGAGGGAGAATAGGTGAGTACATGGCTACTGCACACCCGGGCAGGCCCTCATGGCCAATGCCCTGAGGGTGCCAGGCCTGCAGAGTGGGGGACAGCGTGGACAGGAGGCCCTGAGAGCGGCTTCGGGGATTCTCAGCCCTCAGCTTCTGCCCAGCTCGTGTGCCCTGGCACATAACGGCGGGGCAGGGTAGGGCCTCAGGAGCGGTGACTTGGAGCGCACAGAGGACGGGGCTGTTGGTGGAGAGCGGAGCCTCCCTGGAGGGCCCTCACTGGTGCGGGCAGTGAGTCGGCGGGCTTAGGCACCAGCTGTGCAGGCTAGGCTGGAAGGCCTTAGTCCCACACCGGGGCCACCGCTCTCCCGGGCTGTGCACGCACACTGTCACCACCGCGGGGTTTTGCTGGTCGGTGGCCGTACCTGCTGAAGGTGTGTCCGGAGGGGCCATCCCTGAGGGGACCCTGCCAGCCCCCCACCTGTTCCTCAGTCCAGCTCCTGGCTGTCCCCACCCTCCTTGGGGCCCGTAACTGTCCACAGCCGGGCCTGGGGTCAGCAGGAGACTTAGCCAAACAGGGCCGCCTGCCGTGGGCATTGGAGAGGCCCCAACCCTCCTCCCTGGAGCGGACGGGGACAGGCAGGGGCTCCCCACGAGCTGCCCGCAGGTCCTGGGTTTCTGTCAGAACCACTGCCCTCCAGAGGACAGGCCGCTGGGACGAGACCTGTCTGTCCTGCCAGGGTGCACGCTTGTTTCCGTGCGTGTGCGCACAGGCGCGTGGGCACCTACCGAGCGCGTGTACGTGCGTAGACCGCGGTGCGTGCGTACATGTATCCACCGCAGCTCGTGTGCAAGCACACTGTTGAGTGTGTGAGGCACACATGCTGTCCCCCCGCCTGCCTCCCTTCCTCCCCTAGGGCCCCCCGAGGGAGTGGCTGCGCGTGGTGTGTCTGTGACTCTGTCAAGGGTACCGAGCAGTGTCTCTGGGTGGTTGGTGTTGGCTGGTGTGGCCTCCGCCTGGGTGTGTCTGGGTCTGCCTGTGACTCGCGTGTTGCAAGGGAGGGGACCGTGGGATGCTGGGCCCGTTGCCCAAGCGCGTCCCATCTGATGCTCATTCACGTGGGTTGGGTGAGGTGGGTGTGTGTGACCCGAGACCGCCTTGCCCGGTCTACCTGTGTTCACTGGGCGTGGGGCTGCGGGCTGGGGTACCTGATGGTTGGTGGGAGTTTTCTGGGTGGGTCTGCCTGGCAAGGGTTCGTGTGCGTGGAGCAAGGAGGCTGCCGTGTCTGGGTCTCACTGTGGTTTTCCAGGCCTGGAACGTGTCGGCAGGCCAGTGCAAGCGGCCAGGTGTGTCTGTCTCTGGCTGGGGCTTGTGGATGTCGGCCGGGTACCGAGCGTGTGCTGGTGTCCTGCCCGGCTGTGGCCTGATGGCCCTCGGTGTGTGCACACACCTGGGGTGCCTGGCGCGGTCCCAGAGTTAGGCATGTCGGGCCCCTCGCCCCTGCAGCGGGGGGGGGGTGGCCTGGCCTCCCATCAGACGCCCCCCTCTCCCTCTCTCCCAGAATAAGCCGCCTCTTCAATGGCACCGAGCCCATCGTCCTGGACAGTTTGAAGCAACATTATTTCATCGACCGGGATGGGGAGATTTTCCGCTACGTCCTGAGCTTCCTGCGGACGTCCAAGCTGCTGCTCCCGGATGACTTCAAGGTGAGTCTGCGGCCGGCAGCTCCCCTGAGCCGCCTCTGCGGTGGCATTACACAGGGGACGCTGTGACTTAATAAATGGACCCGTGGTCGTCATGGCAACCATAAAAAGTTAAACGGTGGAGCCGAGGGCTAAATCAGTTTTTCTAAACTAATTTTGTTTTCTCACATTTTTAGCTTATTTATCAGGGTGTAACAATTAAGCAGCGGTGCTTACCCCTTTTCGTTTGCCGTGCTGAAGGACGGTCACGTGCCAAAATGACGGGAGTTAGAGCTTTCCCACATCTGTTCCTTGTTGGCAGCTTGCAGGGGAAGCCCTGATCCAAACCAACTAGACCTTTTAAACAAAAGGTTACCCCCAGGTCCCGGGGCGAGCCTGTCCAGGGCAGCCGACCTGGTTCCGAGAGGCCCACCTCCATGGTGGGCCCCTCCACGGCACTGGGGATCCCTGAGGAAGGAAGCTCAGGCCTGCAGATGCCCGCCCTTCCTTCCTTCCTGCCTGCCTGCCTTCCTGCCTGCCTGCCTTCCTCCCTTCCTCCCTTCCTTCCTCCCTTTCTCCCTCCCCCAGAGACCCAGTGGCCCTGGGGCTGTTTTGTCCTCCATCCAGCTGATACTGGGTGCCAACAACCAAAGTCAGGCCAAAGATACAGTGAAATATGCAGACATGGGTCCTGTCCCCATAGCACTTATAATCTAGTGAAAGGTGTTGAACCAAAAAAAAAAAAAAAAAAAAAAAGGCATGAATTCCCTGGGGGGCAAATGTTCCATAGAAGTAGAGAATGTGGTGAAGGGGAACCATGGAGAACCTGGCCCCAGGGGGTTTGGAGAGAAGGTTGCTTCTCTGGGTGAAGGAGGAACAGGGCCAAACAAGTATAAGGGCCTTGATGAGGGGGCAGGGTGGCAAGAAGCTTGGTACCTTCCAGAACCAGAGAGAAGGTGTCAGCCTGGGGCTGTATGAAGTGGGAGGGGAAAGGAGGCTGCCCCTTGAGGTGGGACCTTGGTGGCCAGCTCAGCATTTGGCATTTTACCTGGAATGCAGTGGAAGGGTTGTGAGCAGGGAATGACAATCAGGTTTGCAAGTCAGAAGGACAGCCCTGGCTGCTGTATGGGGAAGGATGCAGTGAGGGTGAGGGGTGGGAGCAGGAGGCCAAGCAAGGCTTCCTAAAGGCCTTGGTGCAGGTGGGAGGCAGCGAAGATAGAGCAAAGTGGCAGATTAGATTTCTGTTTAGGAATTGGCCATGGAAGGCCGTGGTGTGAATCGGTCGGGGGTAAGGGGACTCTCGAGGCTGCCTCCTGGCCTTTGGCTTGGGTCCTGAGTGAATGCATGGAGGCCCAGGGATGGGACAGGCTGGAAGGAGCATTGCATCTCACTCTTGCATGGAATTGATGGTGGGGCATTGGGTGGAGAGGTTCTGGGCTATAACGGAAAATGTGTGCAGATGCCATTTAAAACGTCAAGAGTGGATGAGAGCAGACGCCCAGGAGGGAGCCCTGAGGAACCCCAGTGGAGGGACAGGATGGGTCCCTGACAGACGACAGGCCCGGGTCGGGGCTAGAACTTGGGCTTCCCTCTGAGTGGTTCCAGAGGCTGGGGCCAGCAGGTGGAAGGGACTGAGGGCCTGGGGGGTAGGCCCTGCTTTGGGGGTTGGGCCTCCTTGCCTCTCCCCCAGGGGTCCTCAAGTTCACCAGCCAGCCTTGAGCTCAGCCCCCAATGAGTGGCCCAAGTCCTGGGGTCCTAAGCGACTCAGGGCCCGGGCAAATATGGGCATGCATGTGTTTGGGGGACAGTTGGTGTGAGTGTGCCAGCCTGGGAGTGGGCTGCGTGGAGGTGGGCTTCCCACTCCCAGACACCTCCTCAACCTGCCTGCTAGGGCAGCATGGGCCCGGCACTTGGCAGATTTTGTCACCCCTTAGACCTCACCCCCCTCTCTGAGCTGGGTGTTTATGTCCGCTTTATAGACGGTAAAACAGGCTCTGACAGGGTCAGTAACTGACGATCAGAGGCCTCAGGGCTGGTAGACAGCGTGCCAAAAATCCCACCCAGGCAGGTCTGCTTTGCCTCGCTGCTGGGCTGTGAGCTCCTCCCCAGCAGGTGAGGATGCTGCTCCCCTCTGCCTGGCCCAGCCTCTCTTCTCTGGGATTCTAAGAAGGCGGCAGGTCCGCAGGCCATAGGCACGGCCTCAGGCTGCCCTAGTCCAGCCCCCTTGGTCTTTGCAGAGGCCCCTCTCTGCTCCAGGGACTTGAGGCCAGATGGAAGAGCGCAAGGTTATCTGGCAAGGGTGCACGCCAGCTGCCGCCTTTGGGTTAAGGCTAGACTCCTGGGGCTTGTACACATTCAGCTGCGCCTCATTCTCCCCATCTGTACAATGGGTACGACCATCGCAGTCCGCACTGAGCCCTGGGGGGGGCAGGGCGCGTGGGGGGCCGGAGCGGGGAAGAGCAGCCCCGGCCGCGGCCATCGCTGTGCGCGCGCCCGCAGGACTTCAGCCTGCTGTACGAGGAGGCGCGGTACTACCAGCTGCAGCCCATGGTGCGCGAGCTGGAGCGCTGGCAGCAGGAGCAGGAGCAGCGCCGACGCAGCCGCGCCTGTGACTGCCTCGTGGTGCGCGTCACGCCGGACCTGGGCGAGCGCATTGCGCTCAGTGGCGAGAAGGCCCTCATCGAGGAGGTCTTCCCCGAGACCGGGGACGTCATGTGCAACTCTGTCAACGCCGGCTGGAACCAGGACCCCACGCACGTCATCCGCTTCCCGCTCAACGGCTACTGCCGGCTCAACTCCGTGCAGGTGAGGGCTGCGCCCGCCCCGCCCCGCCTCCCCCCTGCCTTCCCCCTTGGGCCTCCGGCGGCAGCGGGCATACGTGGAGGGAGGCGCGGTCCCTGAAACGGTGAAGCCCTCCGTGCCATCTTACAGAAAAGGCAACAATGTGTCAATGCATAATTTATGTCCCGCTCATAATTAAATGATGGCGCCTGGGGGATGGACTTAAAAAAATTGATCTGTGCTTTTTTTTTTTTTTTTCCAAAAGGATGTTCTATAAAAATGGCCCAGAGTATTTTCAACAAAGTGTGCTTCATTTGACACCCAGAGTCTGCCTTTCGATTCAAATTAAACCCAGGCCGTCTAAGGGGGCAGGTCAGAGGCTGAGCGAAGGTGGCCTGGAGCCCCCTTGCTCACCCTGCTGACCTGCAGCCACCGCACCCAGATGGCTGCCCAGAGCCATTCTGAGCTGGCCTTCCTCAGATGGGTCTCAGAGCTGGGGAACCCCAGAGGGATGGGGCCTATTCTGCACCAGCTCTTCCAGACCCAGGAGCAGACTCCTATTTCAGGCTTAGGGCAGAGTGGACACGGGG